TCTCTCTCTCTCTCTCTCTCTCTCTCTCTCTCTCTCTCTCTCTCTCTCTCTCTCTAGCGAGGACTATCGTAGACCTCATGTTTGCCAAGGTCTGTGATTGTTGAGACTTCTTCCCTTCTTGCTCTCTACGTTTTTTCATTGAGCACTCCAATTGTTTCAAAGGAACAGCGTCGGCTCTGGATCCCAGCCAATAAAGGAATTCATCGATGGCAAGAAAGGCGAAAGAGCGAGTACGCGCTGGCAAGAGCGAAGCGATCCCTCCCCCCTAAAATCCAACTAGTACGGGCTTTTTAACTGCAACAACTCTCCATACTCTCTACAGTGACTTCTGCTTTTTGAAGACCTAACGGTCTTTCCCCAGTCTGCTGGACCGCTACAGCCGAGCACCGGTTGTGCAGGTATTGTGAAGCCTGTTGGCCTGCATGGTACTTCGCAGCGAAGGGGTGCCACTAGTATGGGCAAGGTAGCAGACAGTGCGGCGAAGGTAAATGGGTGCGACAGCATCCCTCATCTTCAGACTCGTATCTCTGTCATTAACAAAGCAGATCGGTAAAGGGAGATGTGCACAATCGCATTGCAAAGCATACGAATAAAAATTTAAATTTTAAAATACAATGTCCCATTTTAACGGATAACATGTTATTCCCTGCTTGCTACTGCGTAGAGCGGTAAAGTTGAAGGGAAACACGCGTGGCGGCTACCTTCATCCTCTGACTCACATCTTTGTCACGAACAGGGGGAGACCATTGCTGCAGAAAAGTGCAAATTTCTTTCGGAGTTGGGAAGCATAGCACGCAGTGTCTTCATGAAAGCACACGGAATGTGATTGTGTTTTGAAATTAAAAGTCTTTTCGTAGTTCACACGAAATAGATTTTTGACTGATATCAGTTTGATTTCCCCCTTTTCCGTCTTCGATTTGTTTTTTTTTGACACTAGGCTTGATTGTTCCTTTGCGAATGGAAGTTGCATTGTAAAATTTAACACTGATAAACTGATACCGAAGATTCTACTCCCAACCAAGAACTTCAGTGCGCTTTCAATAAAATGGCTGGCACACCCTTTCAACCTTGAGTACCTCTGAGCCTCTTTTTTTTTTTCCCACTCCCATTCCAAACCATCAAAGCCTTTGGAGGCAAGGCCTCTTTTTTTTGTTTTTTTTTGCCGGTGGCACTGCTGGAGGTGATAAGAGCATCCCCCAGGAGTTCCTCCCCCACAGGTGGCTCCAATCTATTTCTGGTGAGCAGAACCTGTTGCAAACCTCTGAGGCATTGACAACAATTTTTTTCTTCTGTTTTCTTCCCTTAAAACAGTGTTGCATACCCCGATGGTCGGCGCCCTTGACTGGTCGCTGGTCTGCACCTACCGGTTGGGGGTCATCGGCACGTCGCAGA